CGCCCCCCCGGCCCGTGTCGTCTCTCCGGCTAATTGAAAGTGGCTTGGCGCTTATCCCTTCTTGCTCCCGCCTCGCCTCTTCCTCCGCCATCCCCGGGGATGAGCCTTTATCCTCACACAAACCCAAAATGCTGATCTTGGGACATCCCCAGTCGTCTTTGGCCATTGGAGTGGTAATATGAACCCCCTCCCCCTTCTCAAAAAAAAAAAAGGCAGGGGGGGATTGGAATATTGGAATTTCCAAGTAGGCTGAGAGGAAGTGTTGGTTTTCCCTTTTTGTTGAGATTGCTGTGCGACAGGAAATTTAGCGCAACTTGATTTGAGGCAAATGAAAGCCAGGATGCAAGTTTCACCTGAAGGATGAACGACTTGATAAAGAGAGCAGGCCAGCGTGTCATGAAATCTTTTTTTTTTCTTTCCATTTTATTATTTACAACATAGCTATAGTGCAGAGAGTGCGCGTGAGTATCATTTCCAATCATTTCCATCCATCCGCGGCGCAGGAGCCTCGCTCGCCGTGTTTTCTCACCACTCCTGAGAAGCAGCGCCGATGTTTCCAAAAGGGATACGAATTACAGTGCAAAAAGGCAACGTCTCTATTTACATCACTTATAAAACTGTACAGGAGAACGGAGAAGAGAGGCGGATTATTGCGTTATGGTGTATTACACACGCTCTTGAAAACACAAGTCAGGAGACAAAATCAACAGTGAAGCCCCGCCTATTCGCCGTTTGCTGTTTACTCGAGATCGGACACGCATCAAATATCCGCATTTGCTATTCTGATTGACTTTAGCAACCGAATGACCGAATCAACTCGAACGGGTTACCCAGTTTACATTTACGGGAAAAAACGCGTTATGGTCCAACAAAATTTTAAAAAAATGCAATTTGATTCAAATGGTAACAAACAAACGGAAAGGTTTTCACCTTTTTAGTTTAAAATCACTTATTTTAACCTCCAAGACCCTGTAGAGGGCAGAATAAGGGATGTTTTTCCCCCCTCGTTGGTTTAATTTTAAATTCATCTATACGTTGCTACTAGCCTCGTCCTAGCTAGCCCTAATTTAGCTCACCTCTCAAGTCTAAGTTTGAAAACTCCCGCTTGTTTGTTATAACTTATTTTAACCTCCAAGATCCCGCAGAGGGTAGAACAAGGGATTTTTTTTCCTCCTTGGTTCCATTTTAAATTCATCTATGTTGCTACGAGCCTTATCCTAGCTAGCCCTAATTTAGCTCACCTCTCAAGTCCGCCATCTAACTTTGAAAACCCCCGCTTGTTTGTTGCTAGCATGGCGTTCGCAGGCTAACAGCGAGGTGCTAGCAGGCCAAATATTCCCATTACTAGGACAGCATTAGCTAAATGGCAACGTTAAAGGGTAATGTTGTAATATGAGTTTCCAATGAAAGTGTTTTGGGATCATATTTTTGTATGTCAGGGAAGAGCTAGGTTTAGCCTCAGTTGGTCGCGCAAATAATGCCTGTCCAAGATTTTTCTTTTTTTAGCTGTGCTGAGTGACTTTTCAACAGCAAAAAATCAAACAATCCGTAATCCATTTCATTCCATGGGTAATGTAAAATACATTTGAAATGATACGATATGATACGAACGTGTTTTGGGATCATAGTATGCGGTAGATCCATCCATGGGGACGGGGGGGGTTACTTTTGTCGCTAACAGATCAGCACCGTGGTGAAAAGATATGATGGGTGCAGAAAAAAAAGAAAGCTATTACCCACCTCTGTCGTGTGGGTCATGAGTCCATGAGGCCAAGCTACAGTTACAGTCCCGAACTTCAACGAAAATAATTCCGGGGAGGAGAGCCTTTAAAGTTTTAAATACTGTTCCGGTAAAAACCTCAGTAATATGTAAAAAGAAGTTATGCAAGTGTTGTGAACAGCAACGCAAAAAAACAAAAAAACAAAAACAAAATAAAACGAATTAGTCAACCTTCTTTGACTGCGGTTGCCTTACACATAAACAAAGGGCAAAAGAAAACACAACTTGAAGACTATGGACTGAGATCAGTTGATGGCAGGTCCCCGTGTGGGCGGACGGACTCACATTGGGCCGTCCGAACTATGCCGGACTTGGCTGAGAGTTCCTCTTCCTCTCCTGTCCCCTGCTGGTTGACTCGATTATTTCCAGTCATTCTCTCTTTATCTCGCGAGGAATAACTGGAGAGAGGGACATCGCATTCATTACATGATAGGACATCACGGTTCAAATCCCACCCCCCGCCCCCCCCCACACACACATTTCTGTTTGTGTACTGAATTCCTGAGCCATTTTTGGACCAGACTTTGGACCAGAGTTATTCAAGTTCCAACGAAACTTGTAAAAAGCCTCTTCAAGTCCTGGAGGATATCAAGAAGATTCCCGATGATGATTGATGGACATTCGGACAATCCCAGAGTAAACAGAGCTCTGCCAAAGAGGTCCGTTCCTGCTGCGGCCATTTCTTTTTCTTGTATTAGCTTCAGCTAAAGTAATATTTCCAATTTGCGCGGGCCGAATGAAGTCCTCCCCTGCTCGTGTTATTCGATCACCTCTAACAAACACAGTCTAAATCTAGAGGGCTGAATATGTGTGTGTGTGTGTGTGTGTGTGTGTGTGTGTGTGTGTGTGTGGACGGTGCCAAGATAAATAAAAGGATTTGTGGAATGCCTGCGCCGCAGCACGGCCTTCCATTTGTGGAACGTCAGTGCTTTGATTGCTTGCTCGTTAGCTTCGAAATAATATTAGGAAGAGAAGAGCGCGCCCGCATGAATTCCGTTTGTGCGGGGGAATGAAGAGAGTCACGGCCTTTGGAAGGTGCCCGGGATTTCGACCCCATAAGAAAAGACCCCCAAAAAGAGCTACAGGAGTGACCATTAGAAGGAAGGTCTTCACACCATAATTCTCGGTCTGCGGGGCTCTTTTTTCTGTTCTGGGTTCGGAGGGGTCAATGAGAAAAACTCAAAATGGGTTTGGGGAGGAGCCTTTAGGGGCCCTCGTCGATGCTGGCACCCATACGCTTCTGGATGGTCACCCTGCGGATGGAGGGCCGGGAAATCAGCTCAGGCTTGGGCAGGAACTGCTCCGAGAGGATCCGAAGAACCGAGTCCATTTTCTGGTCCATCTGGTAGACCTGAAAAGTTAAGAAAAAAAAAAAAGAGTGCCTTGAGGACACACCTGAACAGTGGTTGGATTTGTCTAAAAAAAAAAGAGTGCCTTGAGGACACACCTGAACAATGGTTGGATTAGTCTTTATCCATCCATCCATTTTCCGATCCGCTTAACCTCACAAGGGTCACGGGGGCGTGCTGGAGCCCATCCCAGCTGTCTTCGGGCAGTAGGCGGGGGACACCCTGAACCGGCTGCCAGCCGGTCGTGTGCATAAGAGAATTTAATACGTGTGTGTGAGAGCATTTCAGGAGTGCATGAGAGCCTTTTAGTGGTGGTCACGAGAGGGGTTTCAGTTGTGCGTATGAGAGGCCGTCCTTGACTCATGTCCCCTTTCTGCTGGTCATCGGAAGAGACGAAAAGAGCCCTCGCAACTTTGATGCCCGCCACTCAGTGGCTGAACATCAAAGGGCACTTTTTCCACAGGCTCCAGCGTGTTAAAGGCGTCCCCTTCTCGTCCTCATCTATTAAGCGCGTGCGCCTGACGGGCCGGACATTTTTATGGCCGAGCAGGACCTTAAGAAGCTAGTAGTTATGTTGAAATACGATCGCTATCGTAAGACGCATAAAATATGAAATATGAGTCAGGCCATGGAATGTCTGTGCAATCCACACACACACACATACACACGCACACACCACCACACCAACACCACCACACACACACACACACACACACACACACACACACACACACACACACACACACACACACGCGCACACGCGCACAGGCTGCAGCATTGTAAAGACAAAGTACTACTATATAAAGGAGAGAGGCCTACGACGAGTCGGTGTCAATTGAAAAGTCATTTTTCACGGTATAACGATCTAACTGTCTCGCCACAGCTGCCCCTCCAACTGCCGTTCCTTGTGCCCATCAAGACCTTCAAGTTCCTGGGAATGACCGTCGCTCGAGGTGGTTCCAATGCCAAATCGCCCCGATGGGTTCAACCAAGCAGCTTTTGCTTTGAATGAAACTTTGTGTACTTGTTGATAGTGATGGCGCAACACTGTAGGTCACATTTTAGGTCAATCCAAAGCAGGGATTGGGGGGGGCGACGGCCAATCCAAAGGGTTAGGGTTAGGGGTTAGGGTTAGGATGTTAGGGTTACGGTTCGGGGTTAGGGTTAGGAGGTTAGAGTTTGAATGAGGGGGTTAGAATTAGGGTCAGGGGGTTCGGGTTTGAGTTAGGGGGTTAGGGTTAGGGGTCAGGGTTAGGGTTAGGGTTAGGATTAGGGGTTTGGGTTAGGGTCAGGGGGTTAGGGGTCAGGGTTAGGGTTAGGTTTAGGGTTCGGGGGTTATGGTTAGTGTTTGGTTTCGGGGTTAGGGGGTTAGGGGTCAGGGTTAGGGGGTTATGGTTAGTGTTTGGTTTCGGGGTTAGAGGGTTAAGGTTAGGGGGTTAGGGTTAGGGTTAGGGTTTCGGGTTAGGGCTTAGGGTTAGGGTCAGGCGGTTAGGGTTCGAGGGTTCGGCACGTCGCTCGAGGTGGTTCCAATGCCAAATCGCCCCGGTGGGTTCAACCAAGCGGCTTTTGCTTTGAATGAAACTTTGTGTACTCGTTGATAGTGATGGTGCAACACTATAGGTCACATTTTAGGTCAATGAAATGCAGGGGTTAGGGGGGAGCGACGGCCCACCGAGTTTGAATGAGTTTGGCAAAAAAGGGGGCGTGTCTGCTTTCCTTTGAACCCTGATATCTCAGGAAGTACTGGGCCAATCCAAAGGGTTAGGGTTAGGAGGTTAGGTTAGGGGTTTAGAGTTTGAGTGAGGGGGTTAGGGTTAGGGTGTGAGGGGTCAGGGTAAGGGGGTTAGGATTAGGGTTAGGGGGTTAGAATTAGGGTCAGGGGGTTC